CTGTGTGTGTGTGTATGTCTGTCCGTGCCTGTGTGTGTGTGTATGTCTGTCCGTGTCTGTGTGTGTGTGTGTATGTCTGTCCGTGTCTGATTGTGTGTGTATGTCTGTTTGTCTGTCTGTGTGTCTATGTTTGTGTGCCTGTCTATCTGTCTGTATGTCTATGTCTGTGTGTGTGTGTCTGTCTGTATGTCGGTCTGTGTGTGCCTGTCTGTCTGTGTGTCAGGGTGTGTGTGTGTGTGTGTCTGTCTGTCTGTGTGTATGTTTGTGTGTGTGTGTGTGTGTGTGTGTGTCACCGACAGGATCCCAAGTTTGAAAATGTGTGAGAAAGAGACAATTCTTCAGGATCCTCAAAATCATCTGCAGACACCTTCTGTCCCTAGGGTTTCATATATATTCCAAAAATATGCTTTATTCATAAATGATCTATAAGTAAATATACCAAGTTCAAACCAGTTCCTTTACAGATTTTGCAAAAAATACAGTGGAATTTTGACATTCCACAATACAGCTTCAATCCAGTTGCAACATAAGAACGGCATTTTCCAAACGTAAAAGGAAACCATTCACATTCTCAAAAAGGCCAAGAGGGTATCTCTAAACATACTAGAATCTTGCATCCCTGAGGCAACATCCCAGAGACCTTGCTCACGAGAGGGCAAGAATCCATTTACATAGAGTCATACAGCACGGAAACAGACCCTTCAGTCCAACCAGTCCATGCCGAACATAATCAAAACTAAACTAGTCCCACCTGCCTGCACTTGGCCCATATCCCTCGAAACATTTCCTATTCATGTACTTATCCAAATGTCTTTTAAATGTTGTAACTTTACCCACATCCACCACTTCCTCTGGAAGTTCATTCCACACACGGACCACTTTCTCTGTAAAAAAAAATTGCCCCTTGTGCCTTTTTAAAATCTTTCTCCTCTCACCTTAAAAATAAACCCCCAGTCTTGGAATTGCCCACCCTAGGGAAAAGACACTTGCCATTCACCTTATCTATACCCCTCATGATTTTATACACCTATTTGACATGTTTTACATATTTGAGTTGAAATGGGTTTCAGAACCAGAAACAAAAACCCACTCTGAAATCCTAATAATTGATCCGTGATGTGTACAATATGTGAAAGTGAGTTCTTTTTTCCAACTTGTTCAGAGGATGTGGGCATCACTGGGTGCAGGCCAGCATTTATTGTACATCCTTAGTTGCATATGTGCTGTAGGTACACCCACTATGCCATGAGGTAGGGAATTCAGGATGTTGACTCACCCATTTCTGATGAAGGGTCTAGGCCCGAAACGTCAGCTTTCCTGCTCCTATGATGCCACTTCGCCTGCTGTGTTCATCCAGCTCTACACCTTGTTATCTCATGCTTAAGGAATGCCTGTTACATTTCCAAGTCAGGATGGTGAGTGGCTTGGAGGGGAAACTGCAGTGTCTGGTGTTCCCATGCATCTGCGACCCTTGCCCCTTTAGGTGATAAAGGTCATTAGTTTGGAAGATGTGTGCCAAGGGAGCCTGGGTGAGTTGGTTGAGGAACAGATTAGAACCTGACTCCCTGGTATCTCCATCTGGGCAGTCCCACTGGGTGATTGCAGACTTAGATGGAAGAACAGAAGAAACAGGAACCAGAGTAGAGCATTTCCAACCTTCACCCAACACTGAAAGAGACCATTCTGCCCATCAAGGTAACACATCTCCTTATAAAACAATTCAGTCACTCCCATTCACCCATTTGATCCCCTTGGCGCTGCAGGTTTAGATCCTTAAGGTGCCCATCTGATTGACTAATGGAATGAATTTATCCTTGTCAACCTTATCCAAAACCCCTGATCAAAGGAGGACCAGCCCAATCTAAAACCTGAGCCCCGTGAGGACTCCTGGCCTATAGTATATATTCTTCTCTTGCATTCTGTAGCACTGAGCTCTCAGTATCTGACAGAAGTTAAACTTTGTTACTTTTATCTTGCCCTGCATGCTTTTTAACATCCAAGAGAGTTGGGACCTCCGGCTTTTCTTTTGTAGGTACATATTGGTTCCGAGCCTTCTCTATCTCCTCCTTGAATGCCTCCGTCTGTTCCTGATCCAAATTTGCCTTGCAATAGCTACTTTCAGGGCACTTTTCTCATATGAACTCTTGAGTTTCATAAAAATTGACCATTCCCCAGAAGAACCATCTCCCTCACCAGTATACTGCTCACAGCGAGATACACTATGGCACTCCTGTTTGGTCCTCATTGTTAGCCTGGCAGTAACCCATTATGTTCCTGCAGAAACAAGGCTTTCTACAAGCTCTCAACGAAACCTGGAGTTTGAGCTCCTCCAGCCGTTGGCATTTCCTGAACATGTGGTCGCCATGGACTCAGGATGTGTTGTGGAGTTCCCACGTGGAACAGGACACACATTCTGCAGGACTGAGGTGACCTGCCATGCCCCCTTTATTTTTTGAGCATCGACTACCTGAACAGAAACACTCTTAAAACCTGATCGGATCGAAAAGAAACACCAATGGGTGCTCGCCAATCACATATTTCAGAATAATGTTATGTCACAGATCAGCCGTGACCACACTGACTGGTGGTAGAACAGACAGCTCCCGGTTTCCTGTCTTGAATTAATTGGGCCATCTAGTTTGCAGCTACACACTTAACTTCAGATATTTACAAGGTTTGCAAAGTGATTGGTAATGAGAGAAAGAGAGTGTGTGGATGGAGGGTGGTGCTGTGTCCAGTGTAAACTCCAGACTAAGTCTCCTTTGCTCTTACAGCTAGGGAGGGAGCCATCTGATTATTCTGAAACACTTGTGAACTAACTCTTAAACAGAAATCAGTCTGGCCCCTGCAACAGACTGGGAGAAAACAGTGCCCAGAAACCCGGAGGGGCCTCTTACTACTTTCCTACAGTCAAAAGGATTGGTACCTATCATCTCTGAAACTGTATCTTAGCAGCAGTTAACATCCCTAAACTATATCCCAACAGCACTTAGAATTCCTCGAACAGTATCCTAACAACAGTTGCATCCCCAGAATTGTATCTTCTCAACATTCCTGGAACTGTATACCGACAAAAGTTAGTATTCCTAAAACTGTATCCTAGCAACAGTCAACGTCTCTGGGGCTATGTCTTAGCAACAGTCAACAACCCAGGAACTGTAACCTAGCAACGATCGGCATCTCTGGGACTGTGTCTTAGCAACAGTCAACTTCTCTGAAACTGTGTATTCCAGCAACAGTCAGTTTCTGTGGAAATGTATCTCAACGTGAGAAAATACCTTCAGGAAAGGAAGGGAGAAACCTTGGTGGGAGTTCCCCGTCACTTTTGTCTTGGAGTCTTGTTCTAATTTTAACAAAACTGTTCCTTTTGCATTATGACCGTGTGCAGTTTGAAGCTTGCGATGGACAAATTTATAGTTCTTTTAGTGGTTGATTTAAGACGTGAATATGAAGACTTTATTTCTCACCTAAAGGTATAAAACAGGTTGAATTTAATTTTATTAACTACATTGTAAATCTTAAATAACCTTTACCGAGCAGAACTGACTCAGTAAGATCGGTTGCTGTATTTAAGAATTGTGTTAACATTAATTTTTCTCATTAGTATCTTTAATATGTCTTAGCGTAGCTGGTTTCATGTTTTATTTAATTAAATGTTGAGAGGAAAGGAAGGGGCCTCACCATAAAAAAGAAACAACTGGTATGACAAAGTACCCACTCTATAACTGGGCATGGTAACACAGACATGGTAAGTGTGGCTGGCAGTCACAAACCCTGTGACTGGACTAGGTACTACCCATGTGCCCAGACTGGTTACTGCAGGCACAAGATTTAGCAAAGCCACAACCGGGTGACCATTTGCAGTTGAGACCATAATGAGGCAAGACGTGGTTGAGATCTGATGCTCACCCTATACCAGTAACAGGCAAACTTTGCTGTCTTCAAAGCCAATCCCCACATCAGTCACCATGGGTTGGGGGAGATGGTTGCATAATGGTAATGTCACTGGACTAGTAATCTGAAGGCCCAGCCTAATGCTCTGGGGTACAATTCCCACCATGCTGGAATTTAAGATCAATTAATAAAACCTGAAATATAAATTTAGTCTTGGTAATAGTGACCATGGCAACTATTGTTGTAAAAGCTCCATCTGGTTCACTGACGCCCTTTAGGGAAGGAAATCTGTCTTCTTACCTAGCCTGGGCCTACATGTGACTCCAGACCCACAGCAATATGTGGTTAACTCTTAAACGCCCTCTGAAATGACCCAGTGAGACCTTCAGTTCAAGGGCAATTAGGGATGGGCACCCACCAGCGACACCCACATCCTATGATGAATTAAAGAGTTGGGATCCCATCACTTTTGAACCAGGTGCCCATCTGTTGTACCCAGTGGAATCTGCAATAAGCGTTGAAAGGTCACTTCCCCCCCCCCACCCCACGTCACCTCAGTGTCTTCCCACTGATGCACTTTTCAGTAAATGAGGATGTGGAAGACCATTGGCTACCCTGGGTGAAAATTTGGTCTCACAGGTTTAATCACAATTCGATTCACAGTTATTTTGTGATGGGAATTATATTAAGAAATAAATCAAATTATTTTCAGTAGCAGTGGTCTCATTTGATTATTTCCTCGTTACATGTAATCTTCCTAAATCTCCCCTCAGTGAGAAGTAACTTCATTGCACCAAGCTGTGAATCTTAACAGACCGTACTGTCAGGTCAATGAAGCAGATGGCAAGAATCAGATAGAGAAATGCATACAACATTAGATAGACAGTGAGACTGGCAATAGACATAGTCACCTAGAGTGACAGGGAGACAGGTAGAAAGGCAGCTAGGCCAGGAGAGAAATAGCAGGTGTGTGTGTGTGTGTGTGTGTGTGAGAGAGAGAGAGAGAGAGAGAGAGAGACAAAGGAAAAAGCAGATAGATGGAGAAAAAGAGAGTCAGAGAAGATAGACAATGATGTGGTGTTGGTGGGTTGAAAGATGGTTCCACCATCCCTATTTCTTTGACCAAGTCTAAGGGTCTATTTTGTTTACAATGGCAGAGGTACAACCACTAGTGAGTCTTAACAAGAGGAGGCTGTTATCTTAATGAGATATAGTTTATTGTATGATAGCATAGCAATCAAATACAAGTTACATTAGTTTGTTAGCAGGGGTTACTCAAGACCCTGAGGAGTCCTGTGAATATCATTCGGTAATCCACAAGATCCTAATATGTTCTGCTTTATCCCCACCCAAGCTAGCATGAATTAATCAGATTGCGGAGAGTTTAATGTAGTCTCCAACATTAACCTTTTCAAAACCATTATCTCCTGCAGCAAATGAAATAGAAAGAAATGCACCCATACAAATACATATAGAGAAACAGACAGACTGGCAGAGTTACAGTCACAGAGAGAGAATCATAGAATTCCTACAGTGTAGAAACAGGCCATTCAGCCCATACCATCCTCCGAAGGACACCCTACACTCCCCTTACCCTAAAACCTTGCATGTCCCACAGCTAATCTACCTAACCTACACATCTTTGGACTATGAGAGGAAACTGGAATACCCGGAGGGAACCCAGGCAGACACGGGGAGAACGTACAAACTCCACACAGACAGTCGCCCGAGGGTGGAATCGAATCCGGGTCCCTGGTGCTGTGAGACAACAGTGCTGACTACTCAGCCACTGTGCTACCCTGGTGGTCAGGTTGGCACAAAGAAACTTAGGTAGAGAGAGATAGAGGCAATGAGATATGGAAACAGGCAGAGAGACATGGAGTGGCCTGACAGAGAGAAACTGAGCCACAGCAAGAGTCAGAGTTAGACAGACAGATGGGTGAATGGCAGTCAGACAGAGAGATAGAGGCTCAAATAGACAGGCAAACAGAGAAACAGGCAGAGAGTTAGAGGGTTGAATTTTACCAGCTCCGCTGAGAATGTACAGTCACAGAGAGCTATAGCATCATAGAATTCTTACAGTGTAGAAGAAGGCCATTCAGCCCATCGAGTCCACACTCACCCTCTGAAGAGCAAACTACCCCCTTCCCTAAAGCCTTGCATGTGTCACAGCTAATCCACCTAACCTGCACATTTTAGGAAGAGAGGGAGGATTAATGAAAGCCAAAATATCAGATAGCAGAGAGTTCCCCACCCCTATTAACAGCCATGAGCAGCAAGAATAATCAAAATGAGCATGGAGGTAATTAGTGTATGTTATCGGAAGGGTGTGGAATATTGCTGTGTCGTATCAGACTTGTCCTGTGTTCACAGCTTGTTCACTCACGGGGGCAGGTGTAGAACAGAGTTATTGAAGCACTATCAGATTCACATCCGATGGTCATTTCAAAGAACAAGATCAATGATCCTCAGGACATCCGTAGGCATTTATTTACTCGTCGCCTGAGGCAGTGCTGGGCATAAGGAATTGGCTTGAGTCGGCCTCTCCTGGTCCATTCACCTCAGCAGCAGCAGTATGCAGCATTCACAGAGGGCCCACTGACACCTTAAACACCTTAGACAAACATTCCCAGACGCAGCTTCGGAATTGGGCGCCCGGCAGATCGTACCCGATGCCAAGTCAGGTGCGCATCCACCTTGTCGACCCAGAAATCAACCCAAAAACAGGCTCATGATCAAATGAGAATATGAGAGTCAGACACTGTGGGATGGTGGGATGGACAACTGGATAGACAGAGAGCCAGAGAGACAGAATGAAATGAAGACAGCAATAGAGAGTGAGACAGTTATATAGAGAAAGAGAGACAATTTGATTGATTGATTTATTGTCACGTGTCCCGAAGTACAGTGAAAAGCTTTGTTTACGAGCAGTACAGGCAGATCATAGTAAGCAAGGTTGACCCGATCAAAAAGACTTAGATAGAGGCATACAGGTTACATTGCATAGGGCGTGCGCTAGGCAAGATCAACATTAACAAGATCAGCATTATTTGAAATTACAGAGTCCATTCATCAGTCTGATAATGACTGGGAAGAAGCTGTTCCTGAACATGCTCGTGTGTGTTCAGGCTTCTCTATCTTCTGCCTGATGGAAGAGGTTGCATTACCAGGCTGCGGATGGTCTTTGATGATGTTGGCAGCCTTTCTGCGGCAGCAGGCCATGTAAATGGAGTCCGTGGATGGAAGTTTGCCTTCCGCGATGGTTTGGGCTGTGCACGGTGAAACAGTTAGACAGAGAAGTAGAGAGACAGACCAAAATGGAGAGAGTCATAGAAATGTACAGCATGGAAATAGACCCTTCAGTCCAACTCATCCATGCCGACCAGATATCATAGATTAATCTAGTTGCATTTGCCAACATTTGGCCCATATCCCTCTAAATCCTTCCTATTCATGTACCAGATGCCTTCTAAACGTTGCAATTGTACCAGCCTCCACCACGTCCTCTGGCAGCTCATTCCATATACGCACCATCCTCTGTGTGAAAAAGTTACCCCTCAGGTCCCTTTTAAATCTTTCCCCTCTCATCTTAAACCTATGCCCTCTAGTTTGGATTCCCCTACCCTGGGGAAAAGACCTTGGCTATTCACCCTATCCATGCCCCTCATGATTTTATAAACCTCTATAAGGTCACCCCTCAGCCTCCAACGCTCCAAGGAAAATAGCCCCAGCCTATTCAGCCTCTCCCTGTAGTTCAATCTTCCAACCCTGGCAAGGTCCTTGAAAATCCTCTCTGAACCCTTTCAAGTTTAACGGCATCCCTCCTATAGCAGGGAGACCAGAATTGAATGCAGTATTCCAATCGTGGCCTAACCAATGTCCTGTACAGCCACAACATGACCTCCCAACTCCTATACTCAATGCACTGACCAGAGGAATGTACATTGAGACAGACAGAAAAATAGATAGAGAACTAGAGACACAGAGTGAAATGGAGAGACAGGGGAACAGAGAGACTGTAAGACGGTCAGGAATACAGACAGAAAACTCAAGAGAGAGAGACAATACAATAGATAGAAACAAAGAGGAACAGAGAGACATTGATATAGAGGAATAGAGGCAGTGACATGGATAGAGAGATAGAGACAGCAGAGAACTAGAGAGATAGTGAAATAGATAGAGAGGAATAGAGAGACAGTGAGACAGTAGGATAAAGAAATAGAATGGAATAGATAGAGACAGACAAAGAGATAGAAAAATCAGGAGACAGAAAGACAAACAGAATAAGAGAGAAAGAATAAAGGATGAAGACAATTCACATGGAGTGATTGAGAGAGATGGTTGGACAGAGGGAAACAAATTTAAAAAGACCTCATTTTTCTCAGCGCTGCGGGCTTGGTCCTAACATTTTTGCTTGATTGATTGAAACAAGATCTGTTTGCTGATCAGATCCATGCGTTAATAATTAAGCAGTTTCCAGGATATCGGACAAATGTCACAGTGAGTATGCAAACTTAAATGTCAGCACCACTGTCGGTAAGTCACTCAACCAAAGAAGCGGCCATTGTTTCGGTGACATAGCCCTGGAGAAACTGCATTGGCGGAACCCATCAGGTGTGTCCTGCGCCCTTCCCCAGTCCAATGCTATCAACTTCACGCACCCTACATCCTGCTGTCAATTTGAGCGTATGGGTAGATCCTATTAAACCTCACTCCCAAGTTCCCATTAATGTTCCACCCTACTTTTTCCGACGTTAATTTCCCCCGAATTTGATGAAGAAATCTTACAGCGCCGTGAGAGTCCATTTAGCCCATCGGCCCATTATGGCTCTTTGAAAGAATTACCAAATAGTTGCACCTGCCCTTTCCCTGCAACTCTGCAAATATTTCCCTTTCAAGTATTGAAAGTTCTCAGAAAAGATTTACAAGGATGTTACCGGGCTTCGAGGGTTTGAGCTATAGGGAGAGGCTGAATAAGCTGAGGCTATCTTCCCTGGAGCGTCAGAGGCTGAGGGGCAACCTTATGGAGGTTTATAAAATCATAAGAGGCATGGATAGGGTGAATTGTCAAGGTCTTGGGGAGGGGAGTCCAAAACTAGAGGGTGTAGGGTTACAGTGAGAGGGGAAAGATTTAAAAGGGACTTGAGGGGCAACTTTTACACGCAGAGGGTGGTGCATGTATGGAATGAGCTGCCAGAGGAAGTGGGGGAGGCTGGTACAATTACAACATTTAAAAGGTATCTGGATGGGTATATGAATAGGAAGCGTTTGGAGGGATATGGGCCAAATGCTGGCAAATGGGACTAGATTAATTT